TAGGAGAAGTCAGGGCTATTTTTGGGCAGGAACGCACAGGAACGGAGTTCCGGCTGGCTCCCAAGTTGGCCACGCCCAGCAGGAACCCATTAGCATAATAGGCCACACCCAACAGCAGGAACTCATTAGGATTGGCTACAATTAGGGGTGTGTGGCCTAACATGCAAAAAGCCCTGGGTTTTGAAAACAACAAGGTAAAGAGAATAAGAAGCAAAAGGTGGGTGTGACTGGATGACCACACTTCTGGTAACATGGGGGTGTGGCCTAATATGCAAATGTGCTGTGCGGTCAGGGGTGTGGCCTAATATGCTAATGTGTTCCTGCTGTTGGGTATGGCCTATTATGCTAATGAGTTCCTGCTGTGCTTTTTCTACAAAGAAAGCCCTGGGAGAAGTAATTTACAATGTCAACCGCTCTGAGCCTGCGGGAATGGAGTGGTATAGAAGTCGAAATAATAAATAAATAAAACATACAACACTAAAACCACAGTACGCAATCCATCAAATGTTTCTGTTTTTCCAGGACAAGTATAAACGTGCCCTGGCCGACGTAGAAAACCTGCGACAGAGAACTCAAAAACTGGTAGAAGAAGCAAAGTTATATGGTAAGTGTAGGGTTGACTTGTTCCTGTTAGATTGGCGCCCTAATAATCATGAATGAAGGCTGAAGCTTGGGAACGTAACAATCATACCATTCCTCTAAGGGAAGGGGGCCCCAACCTTTTTGAGCCTGCAGGCACCTTAGGAATTCTGACAGCGGCATGGTGGGTGCAGCGACAGAATGGTGGCCAGGAAGTGGCTGCCGCAGGAGGCGGAGCCAGCCACAAAATGGCTGCCACAGCTTAACGTCAGTCACGGTGCAGTTCCTTGCGCTGTGGTGGCAGCTGCTGTCAAAGAAACATTTTTTAAAAAGATCTGCACTGCCAATAAAATCTATAATCATCCATCAGAAGCCTTGCTGGGAAGAAGTCCCACTGGTCCCACTTGCTTCCTAAAAACATTTGGTGGGTTGTCAGAGGTGGTGTCAGTGGGCGCTTTGGCACTCACAGGCACCATGTTGGGAACCGCTGATCTAAAGGATGCATGGCACTAAGGAAGATGGAAGCACAGAGTCATATTCACTAGCTTGGGTTTTCACTTCATGGGTTAGGAGCAGTGCTCCCTCTCCGCCGTGGAGTCCTGTGAGCAAAAATTCTACTTTATGAACTTCTGGCATTAACGTTGTGAGCGAGGGATTTGGCTACCGCATCAATTAGCTTGCTCTGGAGCCCTCCCTTCCTAAGCTAAGACAAAAATGTGTGAGCTGGAGGCAAAAAAAGTGTGTGCTAGCTCACACTCACTCAGCTTAGAGGGAACCCTGGTTAGGAGCCACAGGCAAGTTGCACCCGAACCTAAGGAACCTTGTCATGCTGGGCATAACTATAATTATCTTCTTGTAAGAGAGCTGCAAGGGATTGTGGTGGCTCAGAGGTTAAGACGCTGAGCTGCAGACCGAAAGGCTTGTAGTTTGGCAGTTTGAGACCCAAGTGCCGCATGACGGAGTGAGCGCCCGTCTCTGGCCCCAGCTCCTGCCAACCTTCCGGCAGGCTGTGGAAGGTCAGTAGTTCAGCAGTTCGAGACCCAGGGTGCCGCATGATGGAGTGAGCTCCCGTCTCTACTTCCAGCTCCTGCCAACTTAGCAGTTCGAAAGCAAGAAATTGCAAGTAGATAAATAGGGACCACTTCAGTGGGAAGGGACCAGCGTTCCGTGCGCCTTGGTGTTTAGTCATGCCGGCCACATGACCACGGAAACGTCTTCGGACAGCGCTGGCTCTTCGGCGTGGAAACGGAAATGAGCACCACCTCCTAGATTCGGACTCGACTGGCTTTCGGGCAAGGGAAACCTCTACCTAAGAAAGCTGCAGAAAAGCACCTGTGGTGCCAAAGAGGACAGTGCTTCAGCAATGTGTCTGAAGGGATTTCTGCAGATTCAGATTCTCAGCCCAGCTTGAGTTCTCTCCTTTGCTCATCTGCTTTGTTGTTTACGTGTGCAGTTGGTTTGTTTAGAATAGAAACAGCAACAATGGAAATCATTAAAAAAAAGAATTAAAACTGAATTGAACCAGGTTTGTCCGCGAACCAAACTGGTGGTGCAGTCCGCGTTAAAAGGAACCACAGCTCCTTTAAACAGGCGTTCTTGGCATAAGACTCCACAGCTTAGAGGGAACATTGGTCCTGCAGTCCGCGTTAAAAGGAACCACAGCTCCTTTAAGCAGGCTTTCTTGTGCATTCCCTCCCTTTCAACTTTAAAGGGACTGCACAAGACAGCCTGAAGCAGCTGAGCCGCGAGGAGCAGGCTGCTCCCCCATCGCTCAGTTGTTTTTGCAGTTTTTCTGGGGAACAGACAGCAGGCCTTTAAAGGAGTCCATTTAAACCCCTGCTTTCTGCTCTGTGAACTGCTATGAATAGCTTTAAATGTTTGTGGAAGTTCATGACGGTAGACCCATCATGAACTTTGGTTCACAAACTACGAATAGGGCATAATTCATGGCGAATGTTGCTTCATGGTCGGTGCCCATCCCTAGTAAACGTACACAGGGTCCTTACGTGTAATCTGCATTAACTGTAATGTGTTGAGGACTGAATCTGAATAAGGATTACTCAGTTGTATAGAATGTTGGCATCTCAATACTTAGTAGTGTATCTCAGGTGTTAGGTGCACTTCCTGGGCCTGAATCGTGCAAGCCAATCTAGAACAAGCATTTTTTCCCCAGGCGGTTGGAATAGCATTACATTCAGGATTGACTGAAATGTGACTTCATTCTTGCTTTAGGAATTCAGAGTTTCTGTAAAGACTTGTTAGAGGTCGCCGATGTTCTGGAGAAAGCGACGGAGAGCGTTCCCAAAGAGGAGCTCAAGGATGAAAACCCTCATCTGAAAAGCCTCTACGAAGGTCTTGTCATTACTGAAGTTCAGATCCAGAAAGTGTTTGGGAAACACGGCTTGGTGAAACTGAATCCCCTTGGGGCCAAGTTTGATCCTTACGAACATGAAGCGTTATTCCATGTTCCCATGGAAGGGAAGGAGCCCGGCACAGTAGCTTTAGTATCCAAGATTGGCTATAAGTTGCATGGCCGTACCCTGAGGCCTGCCTTAGTTGGTGTGGTGAAAGAACCGTAAGACTTTAATCTGAAAGAACAGAAGTGCTACACAGCTATTAGATACCTGGAATAATGGTCCACTTCACATAGTGATGATGCAACAAAAGACGCAGGACCTTAAGCCCACATTGTTCAAACTGCATATGGATAATGCGGAGGGATTACTATGTGAATTTTACACGTATATAAGCCTATACATTACCTGTACATTCTGATAAATATTTTGGTGATTAAAGAGCCCTGCACGGTAACTAAGCAGTTTCTTAGCAAAAAGAAAGTAATCATGTTGATTGTTGTCTAGAATGAAAGCCCTTGCCTTTGTGAACATGGAGCTGGGCTCCAATCCAGTCAAGTTAATAACTACTTTTGTTCTTGTAGAAGCCTGGCAGTAAAATAAGAAAAAGTATTTAAGTACTTTCCATATTTTCCAGATTCAGTTTAGTAGTATACAAATTTCAGATTGCTGTGTCAGTTATTGAAGCAAAGTTCCAAGTTAAATTGGCAAATTCAGCAGTTTGCAAAATTTTACTGACGTCTGGCTAGTAGGCATAGCACACAGCACTAAATATGTGTGGTGCTGGTCTCTTGCTTGTGCCCCCTTCTCAGATAGTCAACAAGATGAGATTTCTAGTTACATTGGTGGAATCCAACGTTATGATGGTTTAATACGGTACGTGATGCAAGGCACAAGAGCATGCTTCCAGTTTATGTTCCTAGCAAAGATTTTTTGTATATGTGAACTTATACTGGAAATAAGTAGTTTTTAGGATGAAGAACGAAGATGTTAATATTTTCTGTACAAGTAACTTCAGAGGCAACAAGTGGCACTAATAAGCTACTGTAGTTGGTGGTAAATGAGGAGCATGACCTCTCAACGTTCTATTCGCCTGATTCAGCACTTCAGAACAGCGAAGATAAAGTAAAATGCATACGTCAAGTGTAGCAGCCACCTCCACTGGTTCTGCTTGAGCAGCCTTTCACCGCATTTTGTGCAGCAGACAGTGAGCTCTTGTGTTGGATTTGGGGGATCAGCAGCATATTACCTAGTTTCAGAGGTACTTTGCATAGTGGGAGAGCCCCAAAAAGAAAGCGATAAGTATCAGAAAATAGTTCGATGAGCACCTCTGTTCACCTGCTGTTTTAGTTTCCCTCGGTTGTGACTTCCATGGCTTCTAAAGCCCAAATTGGAAGTTATCCTGGTGACAGGACTCTAACTCTCTAATTTGGCTCTTAAAGAAGCACCCAGAACAAGTCACATAAGTCGACAGCGGTAGTAGTGATCCGGTTAAACTAATTCCATGTAGCCAGAAGCATGACAGAAATGGTGGATGGCTTGAAGCAGATTTTAAAGTGCAATTTCTTTCCCTGGGCAGTGGCCTAGATAACCAGGCTGAGGAGTCAGAGGAGGCTTGTTTATGTCCTCAACTGTTACTGTCCTCAACTGTGAATGCTTGCTTTGCTGCTCCAAGCAAAAGCTGAAACCCAAAGAATCCACTGCAGACAGTCAGTGTCTAGTATACTTGCACATATTTGCTACCAGAAGTTTCTGATTTGGAAACTGGGCCCTCAGGCAGTGGACAGGCATGTGCAGGTAGTGATTAAGCAGCCCTATTTGTCTAGAAACTTTTTCCAGGTAGAGGCCTAGCACTGACAACTGGACGGAATAGAAGCACCACTTCAACTGCCCATTGATGCTTGGCCAAAGAGACATGGACGGCCATGGCTTCCCTTCTGTTTCTCATTTGAAATAGAAATAAAAATGCTCCTTCTTGCAGAAGTGTCTCCAATTATATCTTCTGTAGAGAACAGTGCTTCATTTTGGCCTGCCTCACAGCCTGAATCTGGATACTTTCTGCCAAAAACAAGTATTAACTGTTTGTATGTATAATATTTTAATTTTTCAAGAACATTTTTTGCACTGATTTAGAGAAGCCTTTCCCCTCAGTAAGAGACCTTTGTGCATAAGAACATAAACATAAGAACATATGAGAAGCCAATGTTGGATCAGGCAATGGCCCATCCTGTCCAACACTGTCACACAGTGGCCAAAAATACCAGGTGCCATCAGGAGGTCCAGCAGCGGGGCCAGGACACTAGAACAGGAGAGCCAGTTTGGTGTAGTGGTTAAGTGCACGGACTCTAATCTGGGAGAACCGGGTTTGATTCCCCACTCCTCCACTTGCACCTGCTGATGTGACCTTGGGTCTGTCAAAAGCTCTGGCACAGCTGTCCTTGAAAAAGAGCAGTTTGTCAGAGTTCTCTCAGCCCCACCCACCTCACAGGGTGTCTGTTGTGGGGAGGGGAAGGGAAAGGAGTTTGTAAGCCGCTCGGAGACTCCAAGTGAAGGGCGGGGTATAAATCCAATCTCTTCCTCTAGAAGCCCTCCCACTGTT